CATCGAGACAATAGGCACCTTTCTCTCCTTTTCGCTGATATTTTGATTGTAATTAACGTTTAATGCTGCGAGGAATAGTCGCATTTCGTGGGATTGTTTGTTCAATCAGAGCCTTCTTTTACCCTAGCGCTTGAATTTGCCTTAACTAACCAAAGGTAGGATGAGTACTGTGGAAGTGGTGAAATATGACATACAGTGGGGTGATGGTAGTTTGAAATCAGAAGTCAACTGCTGGTTAATAGACTTTGTTGCCGTATGAGTATACGTTGTCCAGGGTGCACCACGTGGAGGTAAGTCTATCACACACCCCGTTAGTCTAACATAAATAAAAGAAAGAAAGACACAGACGCAATTTTCCTCAGAAAAGTGTTTCAACATACATAATCGTTCAGTTTCATGTTGGTTACAGGATTTGTAAGTCCTATCTTAGTGCAAACCCTGCTGTTTTCTTACAGTAAAGATGGCAAGAAGTCAACTAGAATCAGCCATTCTAACCAGCGCTTTAGTTGAAAATGATCTAACTCCAATTTTTCGATTTACCAAGATTCGATTCCATAACACTCTAAGTCCTCCAGATTACCGATCAAATCATATTAAGGAAGCGAAAAGTGGCGAGGGCTTTCGTCGAAGCAGTAGTTTCGAAGTCCCTCCCCAGTCGAGACTTTGGTCAGCTAAAGACTGCTTTCCTGACGCAGATGATTTCAGCATTCATACTCTTGCGCTTGGTGCCGATGGGAAACAGCTTATTGTTGGATCAGCCAATACCAGTGTCAAGGTTAATTCTTCAGAAATATATTCAAGTTTACTCATACTTTATAAGTATAAACAAATTTTTATAGGTAATCGGTGTACCGGATGGTGGACAGCTACGCGAAATTCGGCCTTCCAAATGGAGATTGGGGATGCCGATAACATGTCTGCGCTATATACCAAATAATATCAATTGGGTATTGGGTAGTACACCTGAAGGTGAAATATTCTGTGTCAGTCCTAATCAGGAGGGCTTTGAGACATTAATCAAGGAGGAAAATAGACAAACCTATTGTCTGGATATATCTTCGGATGGAACAGAAATGGCTACGGCAGGGAACGATTCCTCAATTCGCATCTACGATATTCATCCTACACAACTGCGTGGTAGCGAAACTTGCTCTGTTAAGGGGAAATCTAGTACAGGTAAGCCAAATGAGGCTATTCAATTTTTGGTCATGGTGGAATATATGAACGAGTTTCGCTCTCTACAGCACTGCCAACCATCTTGTATTTTGGAGACCGATATGAAAAGCCAGTGGGATGTTCTGTCGCAAAAGTTGCCAAAGGCCGTCAGAATCCTTCCTTGAATTCTAGAATGCCACAAATTCTTGGCTATCGACCAGCCGGACCTGCAGATAATTACACCGATGGTCATTCAATGCGTATCACCGCATTAAAATATCACCCAGCGCATCCAAGTATACTACTGTCAGCTAGTTGGGATCATTATGTTAAGGTGTCTAGTACATTGTCAAATTAAGAAGTTAAGTTACTTTAGTACCGACAACCATTTGCCATGATTTTTAGATTTGGGATACTCGAACACGGAATAAGCCAATTTACGAGATCTATGGTCCTCTAGTTTGCAGTCCTGATGGTTTGGACGTTGATGGTCATTATGTACTGACTGCTTCTTGGCGCAAAAGTCAAGCTCTTGAGGTATAAATTGAATTTTGTTCGTTTTATTTTTATGAAACTATATTTGCTTGGAGTTAGGAAATTAGTCGACGCTGATCAAAAAGTTTAAAGAGTGCTTAAATGAGTTTTTAGTACTGATCTTGCCATACTAACCGCTTTCATTAGGCTGTGGTTATCTTTGAGGTTAAATATGTACGGGTATATTGGCCTGACTGTACTAGTTCGTGTTTCTCTTTGGCCAGTGGTAATGCTAGTTAGGATTACTTCAAATGCTATTTTCTTTCACAAGGGGCCTTGCAAGGTCTTCAACTTCACACAATTATCCAGACATTGTTTTGGTTGGTGTAGAATTTTACTTCCTCCTTTGTATTCGAAGAAATGCACAGTCAGTAAAATAAAAATCCTCCCGAAGCTTGAATTATCAACACTTACATTCAAGACTTTGACTTCAGCTTTCCCCATGGGTGGGGGAGGGGTACATATATAGCAGTTAATTAATAGCAGTTCATTAGCCGTCTTCTTGCTTCCCAGTATCTCTGGATTTCCGTCGTTGTCTTTAGGGCTGGACACCGAATCAGGTGAGTCTTCTCCATTGCCTTCTGTAGGTTACATAGAGGGCATGTGGGTTGAGTGTATACTCCCAATCTGTGAAGGTGTTTTGCCAAGCAATCGTGTCTGGTACGTAGTCGAAACTCAGCAACGACTTCGACTCTTGGCCAGTCGGGTATGTCGGAGAGTGCCACTGTCCACTGTTTCTCCTTTGTTCGAGCTTTAAGTTCGAGACCACTTAGAATAATGAAACGGAGCAGGTATTGAAGCCTCTTTTTTGAATCACACAGTGAAAACTCTTCATCTTTCTGGCCAAATCTTATCTTTAAAACTCGCATCAATTGATTCTTTCCATTTGGCGGAGTTAATAAACTACGGAAGAAATTGCTCCAATTGATAATTTCTTATTTCAACTGTGATTCACAGGAGGAGTGATGACTAATGGCGCATTTAGACGTAAAACCGTAGTCAAGGTCTTAGCAGTTCAGTTCAAGTTAAGGCCGCTCT